CCCATTAACACCGGAAGCTACATCACTGCAATTTCGCTGTCGAATGAAGAGGGGGAACTTGCTAGTAAAGTCAGCCAGCACCCAAGCAATAAAATTTCAAAGATTTCATTTTCTGTTGAGGAAAAGATACCCAGGAAGGAGCCCACCCACGCACCCTAAAAACTGTATTAATTCGTGACTGTAAGGAAGACTTGTCTTTCAATATACCGAAGGGCACATTATTGGCTAGCCATTGACAAAACTACTGATCAACTAACTCTTCCACGTGAAAAAAGGTGAAGGGGGAGGAAAAACTTCGGCTTACTTGGTGTACGAATACATCGACTGGAATATCCAAGGGGCTTCCCTCTCGGTTTATCATGGAGATGAATCCAAATCCCATTCGCACATTGAACCACTTACAGTGGCCAGTTCCGTGCAAAACCTGGGATTCCTCCTCTGCCTGCTCCGGCAGCTTCCCGGGCTCTTCTCCACCACCTTTGCTTGCCCCGCCTGAGTAGAACAGGACAAAAAAAGTCAGTTAGTCTGCATTGCCATACAGTTCATTGAAAGAGGAAAAAAAAAAAACCAACAAAACTGCTTGGGAGCTGTGGGGGAGAGGAAATAGAAAAAAAACGCGATTAAGTGGTTGATTCCTTATTTTCTTCTACAAAAAATATTTAAAATGAAAAGGGTTAAAAGGAGAAGCGGGGGAGGGGGAGGCACACTGTGCTATCGATCACATCCACTTCCACGTTTCTGTACATACGTGTACTTTTTCATTTAACTCCGTTTTTCAGCCACATATTACAGTACAGCATGAGATACTTTACTTGCATATTGCTGATTTAACACTGATCCCATTTACAAAGAGAAATTTTCAGCGAAACTCTTCTCTCCGGCGGGCACGAGGAGGAAAGAGAAATCGCGAAGGTTAGAACTATTTTAATGCACATGCGGCGGCAGCGAATCCGGGGTTATCTGCAATGTGCATTCCCCTCCCCCAGATAACTTTCAATTAAAGTTGGGGTGGAATGGGGGAGGGGGCAGGTGTATAAAAGTTTTCTTGGGCTCACTAACTGAAACTGCGTTTAATCACACTCAAACAATTCAAACAATAGCCCCCTGAAAGCTTTTCAAGTTGTGAATCAGTGTGGGCGGTACAAAACATTTTTGGAGATCTGTAACAATAGGTTGCAGAAAGCCCCATTGCGCGATGGGGGGGTGGGGGTAATGCCCAGTATTGGGGTAAAAAGGGGAAGGGGGGGACGGGCAAAGAAGGGTGGGAGAGGGGGAGGGGGGAAAGAAAGGAGGAGAGAAAAATCACAGTAAAACAATAGAAAAATTAACCTTCGGCCATGTTGCCCCACGGGCCCTCTGCTCCAAACTCGAGAGATGAAAACTTTCCCTTTGGAACGGAGTGATCTTCTGCCTCAATCTAACATCTTGATTTTGTGCGATCACAAATTTAGCTCGCATGGTCTAATGTGCTTTCCCTCTTTTGATTTTTTTCTCTTCTCTCTCCAGTTTCTGGCCCCCTGAGCACACGTGACTTTGTCAATTACATGCTTTCTTGCTACTAATTTCACCTCGGATCCTTAAGGGGCAGGCAAGAGGAAGAGATAACCAATCGCCATTTCATCTATGCTGACATCAAAATAATTTATGAATGAACACGAAAAACTCAAACATGTTATCTTAAAGACAATTTGGGACGCTTCTTTAAGATAAATTAGAGTGCTGATTTCGTGCTTTTACTTAAGCACAATGGAAGGTTCTTGTGAATCGTCGATTTAGAAAAACAGCAGTCATATATGTGCACACGCGTGCCTTATACACAAGCCTATCCAAATAATCTCATTTAGGAGAAAAAAGCCATTTAAATAACGCAACCAATGTTATGTTTTTTCCCCCCTAAGAATTCAACTGCTCGATAGCAGTAAACCTGTCTGGGACGCAAATTTCATATTTAATTCAATTCTTAAAGGAAATACATAATTTACAAAAAATCTAATTAAACCTAATTACATCCCCATGAAAGTTTAGATGATTACACCTACAATAAGACAAAAGCACACAATTACCTGTGCCCCGAAATTTTTTCAAATTTAAAATAAAATCCTATCGGAAAAATCACTATCACCTTCATGTAGTCAAATTGTGTTTAAGTTTTATCAATTCGGACATTTGAGAGGGTTGGTAAGAAATTGTACTTCACAGGTTTCTCCGCCATTTCTTTCCGGGGGAGGAGATGTGATTAATGACTTCCTAAATAACAGCCCAGTTTTCCAGCCTAACATAGAGTGAACCTCAATCAGTGGCGATTGTTCCCCAAGAGCAAGACGACGTAGGGCAGGGAGGGGGATGGGTGCGCCTGGCAGGGGAGGTGAAGAGGAGCTGCCAGCAAAGGCAGCTACAGAGCCAGAGAAAGAGGTGGGGGAGAAAAAAAAGCGGGCGCCGGTGGGGGGAGGGGTGAAGAAAGAGACGCAAATGGGAGAAAAAAGGTAAACTCATATAATATTAACTGGGCTCTGACATTTTAGACGTCAACTACCAGTAGATAGTGGAGTCGAATAAACGAAAATTTAATAACGGAATTGGCTATACCGTCCCGTCCCCGGCCCGCTCCCAGTTTCAAAATGCTTTCCCCTTACCTTTCAAATTGGTTCAAAATGATTGTAGATTACTAGATGCTGACACCAATATTACCGCTCTCATCGAATACTACAATGAATATCATAGGTCAACTAAAAATGCTTTATTTCCTTAAAATAGAAAATATCACCCGTTTTTGAAACATTAAAACGCACTACCACTTTTTCCCCACCCCACCCCCATTTCTTAAACAAGCAGTTTACGGAGAAACTGTACAGATACCACTTCCCTTAGGCAAAGCTACTGAGTTGACCCTCCCCCACCAAACCCTCAATCCCCTCCCGATCTCTCCAAACGTCCACACTGCTAACTCCTAACACGCCTGACACTTTGACATCAACTAAAATGTAGGTATCTTGAATTTAAAAGCTTTTGAAAATCCACATACAGCACCTATGTGCACCTTTCCATATTAAACGAAATATAAATTTATGTTAATTGGTTCAGATCTGAAATAAAAGGATGTATATAAATATGCTATTTTCAGCTGTGTGTGATAAAAGGCGTCAAACAAGGCATAATGGATTTGTAAAGATTTTTCGTGTGATTATTTCTTTTGTTGTTTCTCAGGAAATGAGGCAAAGTTTTCTCATTTTATTTACTTTGGGGGGAATAACCATGTGCCAACTGGTAGGGAGGAAAAAAAAAGTGAAAATTCAAATGATTTTGAAAGTAACAAAAGCTGGAAGCTCTCAAAAAATTATTTGCTAACACATTTTTTACTAGGCATTATTTTAATAGTAAATATCAACATTACATTGACCTATAATGATGTAACTTTAACGATGGCATTCCAGGTTAAACATTTCACATAATACAAAACAGGAAAGACTAAAATAAGTGATGTGGGTTTTTATATTTTAAATGCAAGAATTACTTTTAAAAATCAGTATCTGGTTAAGAGAAAAATAATCTGGAAAAGTATTAATGTAAATTGAGGTGAAAAGCTATATTTTATGTAAAAGTAACGGTCATAAAATTCACAGGCCAGTATAATTTAGTCACTGGCAAACATTAATAGTAAACAATATTTTATCTGTGTGTATGTTTTATTTACAAAATCGTTTAATCATCATAAAATCAGAAACAATATTAAGTGGATTCTGAATCCTTGTTTATTGTAGAATTTGATGACATTCAAACCTATCAATACATACATGAAAAGTGTGAAATACATAACTGAACCACATACGATGGTAAGGTTATGAGATTTCCAGTCTTGCCTGATTGGGGGCCTCCAGTATTAGTGGAATTAAGGTAGGGTTCACTGGACTGGTCACTGGTGTCAGAGGTTATCGACTCATTCATTTCCTGAGAGGGACATCAGCCTTTCAAGTTGTGTAGAAGGCTTTTTCAAACTGGGAACTCTGAGAAATCCTCTAACATTCATTGACAAAGAATTTAAGGCAACTGTATTTACATACTTAGGGGGGTGGTAAGAGAAAGGGGGAGAGAAGGGAAGAGCAAAGGGTAGAGGGAAGAGGGAAAGACATTGGGAGGGGAAAAGTGAAGGAGGCACAGTGAGAAACATTAAATACTACCATTTCAGGGATATGGCACTATCTTTTACATAGATTCATCTTTTGTGCCCCCTCCCCACTTTTGAGCCTAAGATCCTTTTATAAAAGTGAACATAATCTCTTTAAGCTCATAGAATGCTTCTTTCACATAAAATGGTCCTATGAATCTCCTAGAATGCCTTCCAATTTGTCACCTTCCTGAAGTCTTCTGGTTTTAATTTTTTTCTCATTTCCTACTTGTTTTTAGTGCCAGAAAGACCTGTGCTTGACTCAAAACGCATGTTTTATACTTGTGAAAGCCAAATGTTTTAGTAGGTTGATTTATCATAGTTCTTTCAAAATGTGTTTAAAATGAGTTCAAGTAGCTACAAAGAATCGTCAATACACTGGGGGTAAAAATCAAGGAAACAACCTATCGTATGCCCATAGGTTATCACAATCTAAGGTTTCTCCGTTTAAAAAGCAAAGTACACATGTTCTTGGCCGTTGGGTTTGGTTTTTTATTTATTTATTATTATTCCAACAGTACAATGCAAGGAACCAAAAGAGGTGCCAGAGCCCACCGTCGTTGTTTTCCTATAAGCAACGAGTGACTTGTATCAAAGCAGAAACAAAGCTTCGGTTCTTCTTAAAACTAGGAGGAGGGGCTGTGGCACTGCGGCGAACGACTCCACCCGTGCTCTCCTCCCGGCAAATGAGGCCGGGGTCTGCAGTGGGGTCTGAGGCCTTCGCAGCCGTGGACCTTCCCGCGCAGCTCGCGCCCCAGGGTCGCCTAGACCCCCAGGCCAGCGGATCTGCCCTTCCCCTCCACCCCCGCCACTTCCTCTCCCCTTTCTCCCTCCAGTCACCTTTCCCTTATTCAGCCCATCACCACCTCCTCTCTACAAGTGTAGACTTTGCGAGGAAGGCTAATGATTTCTCACTAATTAAGGGATTTTTACATTTGTCATTTTGTCTCCAAGAACACAAAGGAAATCCTTGCCTTCACCACTATGGAAGACAACACTTGGCAGAGTCAACTACTTTTACTGCATTTCCAGAGATATATCATTTATAATTTGATCTCTTTATCTGTGAGATGTCAGAGTCTCGGAAATCTAAGATTAGGGAAGTCAAGGGGGAAGGGGCTGAGCAGAACCCGAGAAAATGACCACCACCGCCACTCCCCACCAGGCCGTGCCTAAAACGCAGCGTTCTCCAGCCAGACTCCTGGCGCCCTACTTCAGGGCGGCCACGGAAACGTCGCGGTACGCCTTTGGCGGCTCGGGAGAAGCCGCCGGCGGGGAAGGGAGCGGGGGTCGCCCGGGATGATTTTAGAGAACGCGCGCTCTCTGACCGCGGGTGAGGTTTCTTGCCTAAAAGCTTCGACCCGCACGTCGGGCAAACTATTCCCGATCCCTCCCACTGCGTTTCAGCAAACTACTTGGCAAATAACTTTCTTGAAATTCTCACAATACGGAGTCAAATGAAAGGTGTACTCGGCTGGGTGCTTCGGTCTTATAGTAAAGGCACTTCAGAATATGGGGGCATTTTGTTTTTGTTTTCAAAAAGCAAAATTCCGTTCTCATTTAATTTCCTTTTCTGGAAGCAAAATGCTCTGGCTTAACACAATTGTTTCAATTTGAGAAATTTTACACAGCTGTAAAAATCTCTTAAAATTTTTTCCCTTAAATATCTTAACACGTTTCCCCAGGTATAAATAAAATTATGGAAATACAGCAACCAATTAACATACATTTAAAATTTGCGAAATTGCTTTCAGATTTCAAAAAACAATCATTTGCAAATGTTTCCTTCTTTTGGTCAGTTGTGTTTCAGCAACATATTTAGAGCAATAAAATTCATTCAGAAAAGGGGCATTATTTTAAGACCACCATTTTGTAGAAAGTTCCTTTTAAAAAAACTGAAATAGCAAAAAAATCTTGTTCTAGTAACATACTCCCCCAATGAAAAGGAAAACTAAGAATGTTAGTACTCCTCCCAAGTATCTTCTGAACTGCGCTTAACAAATACTTTCTTAATATGGACAGAAATAGGTTAAAAATCATTTTGTAAAAAAGCACTATGCTATTTTGCCAAGAATAGCACAAAAGCTTCATGTTTTATAAAGGAACTTTCATGAAAAATAAGTATTTTTCACCTGTACTACTTGAACATGCATGCTTCATAAATTAAAGATCTTTTTGCAGTAAATATTCTGAGTCTATAGAAATGACACTAAATAATGCAAACATGTAATTCTTTCCCTTCCCCCCAAGGCAATGAATGAAAGTTGATTCTTTATAACTTAAACCAAAATAATCAACTGAAATAAGAGTATCTTATCTTAATATTCTCACTTTGGGTTTATTTTGGAGAAGGGGCCAGGTGGATGGGAAAAAGGAAGGAAAAGAACAGTGAGGGAGTAAAAGATGAGGCAAGTGAGAAGAAATCTTCAGGCTTTAAAATGCCTGTGTTTGGGAAGCAAATCTGTGGAGAAAGAGTATCCAGCTAGAAACTGGAGGCCAGAGTTCTGATCCCATTTACTGACCTTGTGACCTTACTAATCACTAAGCTTCTCTAGGCCTCAGTTTACTCATCTGCCAATGTGAGGAGCCTGAACTAGTCGATGTTCAAGTCTTTCAGCTTAAATGTATGTAATCTCTGGAAATAACCTTTCTTTTGGTGAAAGTGGAACCTTTCCCGGGACAACCCCTTTTTAATCACAAGGAAACACAGACATGAAACTTTATTGCAGTCACTTAACACATTGGTGTTAACATTATTTCCCAACAGAAAAGAAAAAAGGTCTCTGGACTGCCTCCAGTTTACCCCACAGAAAAACCACAATCTATAGTAATCAGAAACTAGTTGGTAAATTAAAATATTGTAGCAACTTTTCAGAATCTTCTTTTTCATGATACTCATTAGAGCATCATCTCCATGTCAAAGGATTCACTCTAGAAAAAAGGAAAGTGTTTGTCAAATGGCCATGCCTACCAGTGGTTCCCTCATTAAACCTTTTGATCCCTACTATTTTCCTCTTGCTATCTACAGTCTTAAATCTGATAAGCTTAATAGAATAACATCTTTTTACTTGTACTTATTAATCCCTATAAACTTTGTCATATCACAGCCTTAAGTGTGTTTTCTAAGTAGTATTAGTCAATAGTAGAGCCAAGATATTAAATTCATCTGAATATAAACCAAAGTATATTATTACTGAATAAAATTGTTACTGAAAAAATAGCATTGTAAGTTTTAAGTTAAATTCAATATAAGAAAATTTCTATGTATCAAAAATCTAGGTTTTATAGTACACCTAAATAAATGAAAGGATATAAATAAAGTCATTTAAAATGTTAAAAGTTCAAATGACTTTTCGTAGTACGAGGAATATGACATGAGTTCATGAAAATAAAAATAAATGGAGCTTCCCTAGATTAGGAAGATTCCCTAATTCCCTGAAAAATGTCTAATATATTGTGCTATTTATGCTACAGTAAATTATTTGAAAACAGCACTAAGTATCTTTAAATTATTCAACATATATGTGTGAGTACTTATTTTGCTATGGGTTTCAAAAATGAACAAGTTATACTTTTCATTCAGCTCCATAAGCATGTAAATAATCTATTACCTATCTTGTCTGAGTTATGGAAAAGGGAATCACAAAATCCAATACTGCTAAAATCAGGAGGAAAAGGAGTTTGAGGATGTCATCCATGCATTCTGGTCACAGTATCAGTTTATAGATGGAATGACCTAGAGTACAGTAGGATATAGTACCCATGTTGCCAAAGTGAATTCCTGAAGTTGTCAAGTATTCTCATATGTCTCTAGTGATCTTTTTAAACAAAAGTAAAATATTTAGTTTAAAAAAAAAAAAAAAAAGACTAACCTGGGGCTGATGAAACCTGGTTGAATGACCTCATCATCCTCTGAAGAACCTAAAATCAGAAAGCTCAAGTCAGTACTACATTAATTGCCTATTTAATTGCCTCTTCTTCACCTTAATGACTCATTAGAAAGCAATAAAATGCCTAGGTTTTGACTCTGTGAAGTCAAATTTAAGACCCACCTAGCAAAAATAGATAACCAGTTGGCATAAACTTGCTTTTCCAATTAAAGGATACTGGTTTAAAAAAACATTTTACACAAGATCATTAAGATGTAGTCAAACATCACAATTTCATAAATTATGCAGTTAAATGTTTTAAAAAATATTTACACTGTAATTGAAGAATCCCATTTTCTTTTTTAACCAGTTAAAAATCAACCCCAACCCACAATACTGTGTTTCTTGATGAATTTGACTATTCTCTTCAGATACAGTATTTTAGAAGACAATCATGAGAATCTAATTGTGGTACTATACCATTGATGTTATGTCTGTTATATTCAAATATTCTTTGAGAAAAAATTACTTTAATGGTAATACATTTAATCATTAAGTATATTTAATTAAAGGTATCTCACATGCATTATCCCAGATTTTAAAAAGCAACAAGTTATTATATGTTTTTAAAAAGTACTGATATCCGCTGGCAGACGTCATAACACAATAAAACTTGCAATAAGGAGGTCCTCCAGTAAATGAAGTATAGCAACTGGAAGAGAAATTCCTGAAGGCCACTGAATTATCATTTTTATCCTCAGGTCAGAGCTAAGATTTGGAAAATAGATTGGTCTGAACATGCAACTACTCACCTGCTACCATTCAGGGTTGTCTTTGTTCCCTTAACTAAGTTTTACACACTATATCTACCATGTGAACTCACAAAAAATAAGCCATTTATGAATAAATTCTTTAAGTTACAATCTAATATTCTCAAAACTAAATGGAGGCTTTTCCAAGTGCAGAGTTCTACTGAATGTTGACCCAAGATTCTTCTTACAAAGGATAACAATCCCACTGAGTAAGATTTGAAAAGAATAGAGGAAAAATGTGAACAAAAGGAACGCGAAACTCTGTACATTAAAATCCTTCGGTTATCCTGTGTTTACAACTTAAAAACAGAAGATAATGACAGCCCCTAATGTTAACAAAATTCATTATTAAAACTTACTGAGATAGAGCTTTCCTTTACATTGAGATTATATTAAGTTGTATTTTACACATTTGGTTTATGTGGGGGTGTATTTAAATATTATACATACATTTCAGGAAAATCCTAGCTCATGGTTTTTTTCTATTCTAATAGTCCACAGCCCATCTTCTCTATCTGCTTACATTTACAAAAAAGTTCAAACCAAACCAAGATATTCTAAAGAAGTATAAAAACAATCAATAGGGTTTGTTAAAAAAACTTTTCAAATAATTCAGATGATAAATTATAATGGTAGATTTAATAGAAGAAATCAAAAGGTATAATATTATTTAAGAGCTCTAACTATGAGCTTTCTGGGTTTAAAGGGAGTCCGTCAATTTGAATGATAAAGATGTCCAGATTTTTCACTATCCAAATTTACATGATAGTTTTTTGTTATTGATAGTTTTAATATTCTCATCCCTTTTAAAATGAAAAGATGGGATTATTTCACAGACATTGCTGTTAAGTAATGATACAAAAGTTTTCAGTAACAATAGTAAAGAAAAAATCAAGTTTAAATATTAATATTACAATCCATTGTTTATTGAACAACTATGACAGAAATGAGGTAAATGTTATATAAAATATTTACAATATTAAATGTTCATATTCTTACTATAGGTGACTATATGAAATAATAACAGTAATTAAAATAATTCCTTGAACGCATGAATAATTAAAAAACAGCTATTTGTAATTTTATACACAGGTCTATTTACTTAATACTATAATTTTGGGTAAATATTAAAAAACAAAAATTTAAGTAAAGTTGTGATATGCTAGGATACATTTCCCTGACCCTTCAACAGAATAATCCGTTCATCATTGAAATCTCCACTTAGATCTTTTTTTATTGTTACATACTGACAATGCCTTGACCATGTAATACTGTGCTGTAACAGCCCATATAGATGTTCTCTCTTCCAACTTGACTCTCTGCTCTATGGTGACAAGACTGTGTATATTTAGCTCATCAGCATAATCCTGGCATGTTTTACTGTTAAATACATATTTTTTAAATGAATCAATGACATAATGAATTTTTTAACCTGGGCTATCTCTAGGATGCCTTTTATGAAATAAATGAATTTGTATACAAAATTTTCTTTAAAACCATCATTTCATAAAGAGAATGTGATACACAATTAATAATTTGACTATTGCAAATAGAAACTCTGTACATATACAATGATTTCAAATGTTTTATTTAAAATATACATACATACTGCTATAAACTGCCTAACTTATAAACACTACCATTACAAACTCTTAGATTTCATACTTGCTACTAAAATATATTAACAATATTTTTCTCAAGTACTTTACATATTGTTGTTAATTCACTATTGTAACTACTCAATGTGAAGGAAAATGATTACTACTACACATTGTATACTAATTTATTTTAAAAATCCCAATTAAGCCATTAAGCCCAGAGAATTGAGTTAATAAATAAAAATACTGCTATAACATATTACTCAGAACTTTATTTCAACGCAATTTACATCATGTTGGCTTTTCCTTTGAATATTACTAAAGTGAAAAAGTTACTTTAAGTTGGCAAAAAATGATTTAGCAATCAAGAATATTTACAATAAAAGGAAAATTATTTTATTACTTATTTTCATCACTACAATTCCTCAACATTTTAAAAAATATTCAAGAAAACAAATTTTTTCTATTATCGGTATTTTCTATAATAATATAAGTGTAAAGTACATTCTAGTTTACACTATGACTTATAACCAAAAATATAGTCTATTTACAATATGACTCAACTGACATTGAAATAAATACATTCTTTGAAAATCAAAGTAGTCAACAATGTGGCTTCTTAGAAAAATAGTTGGGGGAAATGTTTCTAAATGACTCCTTGAAATCATATAGCACACATACTACACAAACACCAGGCTAAAACTTAAAAGTACAATACTTATTTAGATTTACTATAACAAATATAACATATAAACATATCAAATAAAATATTAAATGCTGAAGTTCAACATTGAAGTTTGTTTTCTTACACTATCCTCCAAAGGGATATTTTTTGCAAATGAGTCAACAGATTAAATTCAAATGCTGTATATGCAAAATCAAGATGAATTATTTTGTAATTTAACTGAACATCCTAGTGTAACTTTAGATATAACTGAAAACACTGTACCCTTAATTATATACAGGTACAATTTTTTAATGATGTACTTTAATGTAAATAAATATTTACATGTGACTATACAGTTGAAAAATTGTAGGTATTGTGTTAAAACAGGAAACTTCACATTTGGTGAAATATTTTGAACATTATCTTGAGAGAAAAAGAATTTTTATTAAGAAAAATATTTCAAAATTGTAAGTTTTATATTTATGAAGTAAATTATAATACATTTACTTGTTTTTCATTACTTATATCAAAACTTAACCTTAAATTAGAGGCTAATATTTGTAATACTGCTAAATCAGAGATGAATTTAACTTTTTCAACTATTTTGAAGTTGAAATGTTATTGGTTTCACATAAGATATGGGCAGTTCTAGCATTCTCTTCAAATAATGTAGTAAGAAATAATTTATTCTAGAAAATAAAAAAACTTCAATGAATAATAATTTAAGTCAATTGGCATACTGTCAAGCTTGTTTAAAGGTGCTTACTATGGCATAATTAACTGGTAAACACAATCCTTTAACTTAAACGTGCAAGTCGTAACACAATTCAGCCACAGCACAGCTGGTTTTGCTAATGCAAATAGTTTGTATTTTCCACAGTATGAACAATAGTTTTATATAATAAAGTCATAGCTGAACCCTTGTTGAGGTCACATTGAATTAAAGAAAAAAATGTTAAAATAGTGATTTTAAATTTAAGAGTGAAAATAATGGCAAAATTCCTGTTTAAAAAAGCAATAATCACATGTATTTTGAAAGCCCACCATAACTTTAAGATAAAAACTTTTAAATAACTTCTTGATATGGTTTAAAAAAGAAAGATTCTAAGTAAACTCGAACACCTCTATTTAATTACAATGTTATCAAGAAAATTTTACTTGACATACATTTTAAGTTTTAATATACAGTGTTAAATGGTTAAGAACTTATATTACAAGAGATCAAAAACTAAATAAGAACTTTTAGTGCATTTGAAATAGTTTCAATAAACACTTTAATATAATAAAGATCAAAAGATGTTTTAGAGGCTGCTCATCTTTTTGTCACTGCTAGTGATCTACTGGTGTAATAAACATAATATTAAATAAAAACAATAGGACTTAGCAGAGAAGATGATTATACCAAAAGACTAACGCAAAAAGATGAAACAGAATTTACAGTTTTTCTAAAATTTTTAACCTACAAAATAAGGTAAAGTCTGTTTTTAACCTACACAGTATATTTTAGTTGAAATGTTTTTGTAGAGTCTGAAAAATATGGTACATAAATGTTTGAAAAATATAAGTAGCATTTTGGCTCCTGCATTTCCAAATAAGCCTAAAAGAAATACTAATTTGAAAGCATCTAGAAAATTTAAAACATGTTTTTCCACCATTACAACTGGTCATACAACACTGTCCTTTTTCTATATAATTAAGCTTTTGTTCATCCATGAAAAAACTAGAAACTGATTGCTTGAAAATGAGCTGCATGCCCTTTGTCCTGGTTGGTCACCTTTGACCCTTAATTTGATGATCCTGCATATCAACCCATTCTATTTTTAGGAAAATAATGTCAAAGTTCTATGCCTAACATAGTGCTTTTACTGAAATATTAAATGTATTACAACATTCCTTTTCAGGTAATTTCTGCAATGATTTTATATATCAGTGCCACTTAACACAATGTAGAACACAATATTGCAAGCAGTGACAGCCTGGTGTGCTCCTGCTTCAAACAATAGAAAATTTCCCCAAAGTACTAAGTCAAGATCATTATAATTTCAAAATTTATACTTTTTTATTTAGAAAAATGCCTACATTATTATTATTTATTTCATGAGTGATTTTTAATTTGATTAATTTTGATAATCATGTTTGGATGGTGCCAGGCTATAAACCTCAATCAAAAACTGCAAATGTCAAATTCATACTCAACCTTACAGTGGTGTCAACTAAAACTGTAGTTTTTGAGAGAACTCATTAGTTGCTTAAATTGATTTTAAAATCTTGTCTACATCTGCAAGTGACAGCTTTCAAAGAGAAAATCTCTAGCATTGATCTCATTGATTATACTGACCTTATTAAAAATCAATGTTATATAGTAAATTAATATACTTCAGGGATAAAATTTCTCTATCACAATTTGATTCCAATGCAGATGGGTAAAAAATACATTAAAAAGTATATATGAAATATATGTATACATTTCCTACAGTGATGATGCTACTTGAAGCTCTACACAATCTCTGTGTACAGTTTTCTGTCAGATTTAGCAGTGACCAATATGGCTGTCTTGATTCAGCACTATGGTCAGCGACTTCATAGAGAGTCACTGTGTCTGAGAACTCCAACTCAGTATACATGTATATAAGGGGCAAATTTCTCAAAACAATGTGATTCTATATTTCATATATTCCTACATATATTCATACAAGTCAATCTTAATTTTTTAACGTAAAGAATTTTCATTGTTCTGCTTGACCAGCTAGAAATTCTTCTTTACCTTGTTCATCAAAAACAGTACTTATTTGTAAAAAAAATCTGTCCCTTTCAAAGGAAGACAATCAGGTACAGGTTTTAAAGCATTTAAACATAAAAACTTTGGGCATTTATGGGCTATCGAATTTTAAGAGAAAATAAGATTCTACTAAAAATCATCAACTAAGAAAGTTCTTTAACTGACCAAAAAATTTGCAAAGTCCCTTTTATGCTCTACAGTTTTAATTTCTTCTAAACTGATTAATCTATGAATCTCCACTTTCCTTTTTTTTAATCAACTCATCTATGGATTAAGATGTGTTTATAGATCACTTACTGACCTGAGCTTTCTAATAATCTCTCAATTTGGTAGTTATGAACAACACTTCAATTATTTTAAAGAAACATCAGTCCTATACCTGAAGGCTTTTATGTATATACGTTTCATTTAATAACTAATTTTTCCCTTAATCATGGTTTGTAAATTATGATAGCAGTGTTACAAATACCCGAAAAAGTGACATGATCAGATACCAAACATTATCAAACTATCAGACAGGTAGTATCTGTTTAATCTTCTTTTTCTTCAGAGTAAACGGAAAAAAAAATCCCTAAATCCACTATATTTACTAAAATTCTGGTGTTTTATTTTTGGAATTTACATATACAACACGCTTTAAAATAAGTCATTCTGAAGACTTTGAACACTACCATATCAAAACTCAACCTGCTTTACTTACAAAGTACAGTTGACTGTATTTTCCCCCATAACCCAGATTTACTTAAATCATGATTCATTTCAAAACAAATTTTTCATTGTTTGTGAAAGAAGTTTGGCACAGACATATAGTAAGACTATACAATTTGACAAGGATTAATGAGAATTGATCTTTGAGTCATTTGGTTCCAGATCTATAAAATGAAAAGCATCTATAAACAATTATATGCATTACAAATTGATTCAGATCCTTAAATTCCTGAAATTGTATTATCAAGCAATGATTAATTTATCCTATTTGTAAAATGGAAAAGTCAAATAAAGCCATTTTATTCTTTGTAGTATCGTCATCTCCCTACCAAGTACTAGAAAGAGGCCTGTGTCAGTTTAATTTGAAAATTAGGAAATTTAGGCACACTGGATTGTCTTATTTCATACATTCAGAGATAAAGAATTTAGGAAGACTTTTCCCCAGATGGACAAGGGTCTAATTATTAATCTCAGTGGAATGCTTATTATTACATGTTCTATTATTAATTTATAGTATGACTCCACTATCAAATTTGTGCACATCCACTGAAGAAAATATGGTGTAAACTTCATAACAAATTTATATTTTCAAAATCACATAAACTGGCATAAACTTTTAAGAATTCAATTTTAAATTTTAATGTTTTCCTGAAATATTTTATAAAATTAAATTGTAATGCTTTATAACTTATTCTTGAACTTAAAATTCTGCAGCAAATGCATTTTTAAGTGTTTTTTTTTGCATTACCACCTAGCTAAATATGGTAATAGTCTGCACAAAAATGACACGAGGATTTTTTTTAAATCAGCGTAAAAATCACTTTAAGGCATGCTTTGCCAACAATGTTGTAAAATATTTTAAATTCATTGTAATACTAGTTGTTATGAGTAATTTTAACTTCCACAGTAATTGTGACTAAGAAATAAAAACAATAAACACGAGCATAATTTATTTTCCCCTTGCATTAACAACTAAGTATAAAAATCCTCAGTGGAGAATTTAGTTCTATGAACAGTAATAATAGCTGTTAACCTTAAACACCTATGGATGAAAACAAATTCACAGAAAGAAAAGAACTCAAGGAAACACAGGAACCTAAGATTTCAGTCTGTGTTACACGAAACAATTCAAAATGGCGGACTTGCTATTACTTACATTTAAGAAATTTCCGCAATGAGGACACAAAATACATACTGTAAGATGTTACTCAAAAACACTCAATGTTTACCAACGTGCAATTTAAAAAAAAAGTTTTTGGAGTACAAATCTTCGCAATGCACCCGCATCCAGTGTTCCCAGTCAGTAGTTAATACTCCTGCAAATGCACCGTTTCTTCTTTGGTTTTGTTTTCAAAAGCAGCCTAAATCCAAGTGCGTTTTTCTCCGTTCTCCTCAAATCCTTAATTTTAATTCATGAATTTACATCACCGACACCGAAGCAAAAAGGATCCCCGACGCCTGCCGGCTACAAAGCAGCTCGGTTTGCGGAATACTTGAAGGGCAGGTACGGACGCCCCCTGGCGACGCGGCCCCGCGTGTGCGAGGCGCCCGCACCGGCCTCGCGGACCCGCCGCCGGGTCCCCAGCCCGCGCCGCATCATAGTGCCCCGCGTTGCCTGCGCCCCCTCCCGCCCCGCAGACCGGCCCTACTGCTCACAGCCCGCTACGGCCGCCCAGGCGCGACCGCGGAAGCGACCGTGGGCAGCCGCGCTGGCAACGCCTCGCCCGCAACGAGCGCCGACCCGGTGGCGCGGAGCGGGCTGAGAAAGGTGTGAACCCGGAAGTACATCGACCGCCGCATCTCAGTGGCAACACGGGGGCAATAAATCAGGGCTGGCGAAGGAAGGACACAGCTCCGGCTCCCGAACGGCAAACTTGCAGCGAGACATGTCACTTCCCCACCTTTCCCTGTCCTGCCCCCTCCCCGGCGCTCGCGCCTCCTCTTTTCTTCCTGCTCCACTGCACCGAGCTCCCCTCGACGTTGCTCACGTGCCAGACTCCGGGCCGCGAGCGGCGTCCGCACAGGCGCGCACACCCGGCCACACTCGCAACTCGCACGGCCGCAGGGCGCGCTGCTTACCTCCGGGGCCTCATGGTCGCGTTGCTAGCCCTGGTGTGAAAGGGGGGGAGGGTGTGAATACGCGCGTGGCGTTCAGTCCGGAGGGACGGGGCGGAGGAAGGGGCCTGGAGTCTGTCACTTCCTGAGGGAGCGCGGGGGCCGGAGACCCCGGGTGCGTGCAGCGGGGCCGGGAGGGTCAACACATTGTGAGTCGGCAAGGGGACGCGGAGCTGAGGGGTCGGGAAGCGAGAGCAGCGCTCGGCTGCCGGACGCGGAATCTGCTGTCACCGCCGCAGCCCGGCGGGTGGCGGGCGTGGGGAGGAGGGGGCCGGGCTGTGGGCGGGGGGCCGTGGGGTGCGGCGGCGGCACCAGGCTGCTCGACTCAAGCCCTGCGTCAGGCGGCGGCACGCGCACACCTGCCCGCCGCCGCTCCCGGGTGCGTCATTGGCTGCCCGCGCCGAGCGCGCGAGATTGAACTTTCCATTCATTCTTGGGCCGGGCGGGCGCGCACGGTGGTGGCGGAGCTTTCCCCGCGGGCTCTCGGGAACGCGCGCTGCCTCCCTCCGACCTGAAGGCGCGTTCTGGCGCGGGATGTGGGCGCGCACGGCCGTCGCCGCCGCGGGCTGTTTTTGTGGAGGCTGCGAGTGTCGGGGCCTGTCATCTCGGTCCCGCCGCGCGTTGCGCGGGATCCTGGAGGCGTATCTGCTGGCGGTCCCCGGGATGCTCCTTGCGGGAAGCGGGAGAGAAACTGTGAGAAGGTACCGGGTCGTTTTTTCCTTAACTAACAAACGCTCTGGAGGTACTAAGAGTTACTAAATTCCTAATTGTGTAATTCAGAGTATTAATTAGTAACGCATCTCAGAATCCAGTGAGCATCGTAGATAGTGTCAGAAGTTTTGGGAATCTACAATCAGCTATATTCTGCCTTGTTCTTTCCTAAACCATAAAATACTGAACCTCAAATTGAGTACTAACATTAATTACACAAAATGCCAAAAGATCTGTGGCCATGAACACTGTGGTATGTGTATACCGAACTCTGATATTTTGGTATATTTTCCGAAAATATCACTGCCTTCTATTATTTTCTGCCTAATGACTTCAAGTTCTTTCTTGTCACTCAGTTTCCCGTTATACTCTCAGAAACAAATAGTCCTGGTCAACCATTGTCTGACCAGCTACGGAGCCAAACGTAGCCTCGTGATCTGTGATCTGGTCTGATCAAATATAGACTGGTGGGACGGATGAAAAGGATTAAATATTTCAGCAAACTAAAAACCAGATATGTTAAAAAATTTATATATATATGTATATATATATATATGGTCTCATATATGGTATAAAAACAAATTAAAAGTGGAAAACTTTGAACATGACTAATAAAGGCCATTTAGCTGGATAATTTATGACTAAAAGGTAAATCTCCAAACCATGGATGTGTAATGACCATATTCTCCCTTAAATTCCTGGATTAGATTAGGAAACCAGTTCATCTGTCAAGAATAACAACGGTCTAGAAAAAACACTTCTGGCCTGAGGGTGAGATGAATGTTGACGAACTGATTAAAAGCAAAATCCCACTGTGATCCCCCTAAGAATTTTCCAGATTGGCTACTTGCAACAAATTCCCCAGATGGCTGCCTGGCTTTCCATTGAGCCTATGTAGAATGTGTCTGACTTTAAAGATGCCTTTTCATTGGCACACACATAAAGTATTTCTTATATTACTCATTGAGTAGTACAGAGAATTATTTTAGATACAGTGCTTAGTTATAACCATTGTATCAATCAATTGCAATTGATTTGTTATAATGCTACATACTTTAAAATATGATTCCAAATATAATTTAGTGGAAAAGGATGCAGACATTGATAACTAGAAATGAAAAACAGCAATTAATTATATATCACCATCTGAAATATGATACGCTTTGACTTAAAAGCTTTAGAGTAATTTTTTATTTATGAATGGAGCTTATAAATGATGCACTTACAGAATGAACTTCGTTGGTTTTTTTCAATAACTATGTCTTTTAGGTGCTTTATAAGACTTTAGATATATTGATATAATATCTGTTTAAAGTCCAGAAAGTTGTAAACAGAAAATAAAAATTAAAACATTAAAACATAAACTAGAATTGGTATCCCAAATAATCAAGAGGTCATCTTTCTTTTTGATTACAAACTAATTATCATGGCATCACACTGCTATCATAAAAAGTGAAAAACGTGGCATTATAATACTTAACATTATTTTATATCTGGTGCTGGGAAGGGGGAGATAATGAAATTTGATAGACTAATCACTTACTAAATATCTTAGCATGATTACAAGTGCATGGAAAACAACAAGAGAAAGTTAAAGGCAAATGAATTTATCATTTGTGTGTGGGTCTTGGCAATTTCTTTCTAAAAATGTATATTTCTTCCGAGGGCCATGAAGATAGTTTGCTTTACTCTTAAAATTATATTTGATAATTACTTCCTGAAAGAACAGGCCCTATCTAATTCCTCTTAGCAACCTCCAAAGCCTACAACAGTGCTGGCACATAGTGGGTGTGAAAGAAATTTCGTTTTTTAATTAGTGTATGAGAATGCATCCTGATTACATTTTCAAGCAAATAATTAAAGACATTTGGAAAATATAGAAAGCAGTGTGTTATATCTCACTACCCCCCCTTTTTATATAACTAGAGTATATGGAAGTAAATCCAGACATGTTATTTTACTTACGAATTACAAGTATTGAGTGTTATAATATTGAAAAATTAGGCTCTTTACATATTATATTTATCCTCATTCTCTAAAACCATTTTTAAAATAAAGTTTAAGAATAAGGAAACAATAGCATTTGTTTTCTAGAGCTCACCCTAATGACCTCACCTTAACTCGATCATCTGTAAAGACCCTGTTTACAAATAAAGGTTGAATTCTCAAGTACTGGGGGTTAGGACTTCAATGTCTTTTGGAAGGGGCACAATTCAACCCATAATGTATCAGTTAGAACTAGGTGATTTTTCTTCTTCACTGAAAAAGAAATATCTTTCTGCAGGGAACTTACTGGATTCACATAAGTGGGTTTCCGCCCCCCCCCCCATTTATTATAGCAAAAGATTTAACTCCAGTCCCAAATGCTTGTTTCAGACTTCTGTATGCCTATCACAAATTATTTCATTTTCAAAACTTAAAGTTTATGAAGCAAGCTTTATCACCCAAATTATAAAGTATATATTGAACTCTCATGTATAGAGAACAATGAAAAGTGGGTAGAGTTTAACATTCATAAAAATTATGACAAAGTTGTGCTCTTCTGTCGAACTTGCAAAAATCCTAGAGTTTGACGGCACACTGTTGGCAAGGCTGTGGGTAAACCACAACTTTCATACACTGCTGTGGGGGTGCAAAAGGGACACAAGGTTCAGAGAGGGCAATTTGGTGAAATCTATTAAAATTATAAATATACCATGACCTATTGACCCCTCTTCTGGGATAGTATGCTACAGATATAAGTGCAAACATAGCAAATGATGTGTGTACCTGGACTGAACATGTTTGTCATAGCAAAAGGATGGAAATAGCTTGTGTCCATCAACAGGGGCTGAATAAATAATGTAAAATCTCTCTGTGCACTTATATGGAAAGGACTCCAGAATACATTTTTAAATGTAGGAAGCTGCATGCCAAACACCACATATGCAGCCTTTTGTGAGAGAAAGGGAGGATATAATAAGAATACTTATATTTATATTTGTTATTTGCATATAGAAACACTAAAAGGGTGCACAAATGAAACAGTTACCTATTAGGGACAGATAGGGAGATCAGAGTGAGTGAATATAGGTGTGGGAGCAAGACTTAATATATGCATGAAGGAGAAGGGGAATGGATGAGACAATACAAATTGGTAACTACAATATGGCCTCAGGGATAGAAAAGACAGTCTGGGGAATATAATCAATAATGTTGTAAATATTTTTTAGGGGGCCATATGGACTCATGTCTTGTTAGGGAGACCACTTCATAGTTGGTGTAGAGGCCTGACCACCGCACTGTATTTCTGAAGCTGATGTTGAATAATAATGTATGTCAACTATAATTATATATACATAGTCACGGGATGTAGAGTAGAGAGTGGGAATGGAGTCAATGGAATTGTAATAGATAAGTATGATATTGGGAGTTGGGAGGGCAGTAGATGGGGGAGGGGGATTTCTGTGCGAAGGGTGAAAAGGATAACTATTCCAATGTTCTGTACACCTGAAACTAACAATAAAAAATAATTAATTAAAAAAAAAGACTTAATATATGCTTGTTAAAGAGTATATCTGAACCACGTGAGTGTATTACTTATTCAAAAATATTTTAATAAAACATTGAACTATGGCAAATTATTAGTGCTACTTCTATGGAATGCACTCTTAAAAACCTTTCCCTATTTGGAAAACTCAATTGTTAAAAAGAATGGTCTCAAAAAATTGAAAGAGAATGATCAGTGAAGCACATGAGTCAAAATCTTGGTAACTGTTGAATCTCAGTAATAGGTATATGGTAGTTCATTGTACTGGTCTCTCTAATTTTATCTGTTTGAACATTATGTTTTTAATGTTCTCTGAATCATTAGAATTTATAAAATCTAAGCGTTATCTAAAAATTAGTAAATTTTCAAAAAAATAGGAAAATTACATTTACTTAAAAATTGTTAAAAATAAATAAATAAATAAATAAATAATAATAAAAATAAATAAAAACTTCAAAAAAGGGCCGGCCGAGTGGCTCAGTTGGCTAAGAGCTCGCTCAAGAGTTTGAGCTCTGAGCAACAGCGGATCGATTCCCGGCCCGAGTTGAGCTGCTGCTGAGCTGCCAACAGGTGGCAGGATGGCTCAGCTAAAAAAAAAAAAATTGTTAAAGTTTGAAGTGCCTGGTTTTGGGGGAGTCCACCTAATTCAGGGCTTTAAGATAGTTGGCTAGAAATAACCAGTGAAGCCTCTTTTGATTAGGTTGTCTAGCCATGGAATCAGACCAGGAGAAAAGGAATCATTGGCAGAAAAGCTGTTTATTATTATAATTCAAAGTAATATATATATATATATATATATATATATATATATATATATATATATATATATATATATATATATAGGCCCTAACTTTTAAAAATTAAACTTTCTCGTCTAACAACAACTTCTGCAAGAATCATCATTCATTTTTAATTTTTTTGTCTTAATTGTATTATTATTATTTTTTTTAAGCTGAGCCATCCTGCCACCTGTTGGCAGCTCAGCGGCTGCTCGGCTTGGGCCGGGAATTGACCCGCTGTTGCTCAGAGCTCAAACTCTTGAGCGAGCTCTTAACCAACTGAGCCACTCTGCCGGCTTAATTGTATTTTAAATTA